CCCCCCCCCCCCCCCCCCACCCAATGGCCTCGTGGGTGATTTCAGAGCCAGCCAGACAGGGAGGAGTCAGCAGAATGGCCCCGGGACCGCTCTTTCTCCTCTCGTCTGTAATGAGTGGCATTACGCGATAAAGGAGGCATTAGCTCGCCTTTGCCCTTTCATTCCGTCTCATAACTTGGTGTTCCGTGTCATCCAAGAGCGTGAGATCCGTCATTCCCACTCGTCGTTTTCGTCCGTCATTCCCACTCGTCGTTTCCGTCCGTCATTCCCACTCGTCGTTCCCGTCCGTCATTCCCGCGCCCCACTTCCCCTCGTTAAAAGCCGCAGAATAGACCTCGCGGTCGCGATCGTAACTGTAAACGGAGAAGCCGACACCTCGTCGCCCGACCGATCGTGAGAGTAAATCCCTTCGAGAGCAAATTCACTCAAACGAATTCGAGTGCAGCCTCGGGGAAAAAAAATTCCCCTGGGGAGAACGTCGATCCGAATACACGTAAGCAAGTTTTCTCTTCCTCGGCTAACTCAATTTGCCGCCTCGAGGTCAATTCTCCCTCTCAACGGCTTCAAAGTTCTCCCAGGAAAAAATACGGACGATGCAACTTCATGCATATTTGTTGCATCGAGGGAAAACAATACTCCCCCAGTGGAATGAGACTCCAAAAATGAACCGTCCGCGCGATCACGAAAGTACAGCCTTATTTTCTGAGTTAGTTACGATTCAGAAAGAAATTCGTCTCTTTAGAAGGAAGTTAGGAAGGAATCACGTAGTTGCCTCGAGAGGGGCCAAGAGGAGAAAGTCCGCAAACGCCAGTGACACCTAGCGTCTCCTGCGCGCATCACGGGCATCCCATCCCTTTTCTGCGACCGGGTCGACTCGACGTGGGAGGGGCCGCCGTGGGTGGCCCCTGTCCGATCTTGGAGGAGAATGAATGGGAGGACTCGCCGTGAGAGAAATGGATTAACGTGAGGAAGGTATGAAGGAGAAAAAGTTTGATTGCTTTCCATTTGCGCGATCAGAGTTTTGAGTGGAAATCGAATTTCACTCGAATCGAAGATCTCGTTCGAGAACATCCGTAACGATAAATCACATCGATCTGCGGTATTATTTAAAATAACCAGCTGGCATTTTTAGGCGATCGTTCCTCGAATTCCATCACTTTCATTCCCGTCCGGTCGATCCACGTCCGTGCGTACGACCACGCACGACCATCGAAAGCAACGGAATCGAACCAGAGACTCGAGACAATGGACTCGAAGGACGGACCCTGCCCCCGCACCCATCAAGGAGACACGGCGGACCGTGAAGGTGTGCGCAAGGCGTAATCGCCCGCTTCCTTCCTCTGGGGGAAAGGGGGGGCGGGGTGGGGGGGGGGGGGGGGGGGGGAATAAAAAGCGAATGAAATTCACATCCTCCAAAACGAGATTCAACGTTCTCCACAACCCCGCAGAGATGGAACTCCAAATTTGCTGGAGCGATTCTGTGGTGAGAGAGGAAGAAGTATGCCAAATTTCGTTCCTGTTGATGCTCTCAGAGAGGAATACGAGGAAGTCGAATTTTGCTGCAAGAAGGGGTTGAAGAACCGCTACCAAAGCCAATTGATCTGTGCATGGACCCGTTACTGCAATTTCCCTGAAATGCAAAAAAATGCGTTGGCCCTATGTTTGTCCAATGTGAAGATTTTGAAAACGAGATTTCGAAGTGAAGCCTTCAGTCATTTAGCCAGTGTGCACGCGAGGTCTTCAGATGGTTGCTAGTTGCTTACCTTAACCTTTGATAACTGAATGGGAATGATGTATTAACATCATTCCCATAAGAACAGTTCTTATGACACTGACCATGCCCAATCTGCAGACTCTCAGAAGTCAAATTTGTCTTTTTTGGGTCGTTTCGAAGTTGTGCCCTTTTTCTCAGTCTTTAAGACTTTGAGTCCAACGCAGTCCTTGAGTTTTGCTCTCGAAAAGGCGAGACAGTGCTGACCAGGCCTCAGCACTGGGTAATGCAAATAAATCCATTCCGTATTCAGTATTTGACATGGATGTATAAAGAGTCATTAAGGCTACTCTACTATGAAGGCTAATCCGGATCTGGATATTCCGTGTGAATGAAGACCCTTCCACCCTTGCTGTTCATTTTGCACTTTGGCATGGGATTCTCCTTCAGGACCTTGGCAATGAGTCTTGAACCGTGACAACTGCTCTTCCTACTCCGTTTCCACACAAGGGTATTGATGGCCTCATTTTAGCAGCAACTTTCTTTTGTCGAAAGACGAAACAATCTCGATGGTGTCG